TTAAAATGATTACTTGACACAAGCAAAGGCTTAGCTATCAATCTGCCTTGTGGTCAGCTGCATTGCTAGGCCACAGGTCATGCCTTGTATTCAGCTGTAAAGCTAATACTTCTTAATAATCTAAATTATTATAAACCTAACAGTATGCTTATCAGAAAACTATTCTATTTCAGGGTAATAACAAACCTGCGCGCTACACGTTGAAACGTTTTGCTGTTTCAACCCTGTTTCGACGTTTCGCCCATAGGATATAATGGGGAAGGACAAAACAGGCTATAACTTTATCATTTCCAGCTCGATTTGGATGAAACTTGCAGAAATGGTAGCACCTTCTGAGGGCATAAAGCATGCCAAGTTTCAAGAAGATAGCGTAAGGGGTTCAGAGAAACAGCACCCCAAAACCTTGAGAGCCAAACTTGTGTCGTGTATGTGTTAAGCCACAGCAGGGTCAAAACTACAGGAATGCTAGCCCCTGGTGAGGCCACAAAGTCTGCCACATTTGAAGGAGATAGGTGCAGGAAGTTCGGAGAAACTGCACCCCAAAATCCTGAAAGCAAAACTCATGTCATTTGTACATGTTAAGCCACAGCAGAGTCAAAACTGCAAGCATGCTAGCCCCTGTGAAGGCCACAAAGCCTGCCAAGTTTCAAGGAGATAAGTACAGGGATTTGGGGGAAACTGAGCCTCAAGCTGCGGACAAGCAAAACTCATGACATGGGTGACACTGTGTGTGTTAAGGCACAGCAGGGTGAAAACTGCAGGGGTGGTGGCCCCTGCTGCAGCCACAAAGCCTGCCAGCTGTCAAGGCATGCCCCTGTCCCTCTCCCAGTCACTTGATTCAAAGCTGTCAGGTTCTCTGGAGTCAAATACCAGGTCCAAGTTATTTGTTGATGCCCAGTTAGCCAAGAACTCCCCATCAAGATTTATGTTCTTAAAGCCCTTGTTCTTGAGCTGTGAGTTGAAATCACCAGATACAAGGCATGGGTGTTCGATTGTTGGCAGCTGGGAAGAAGAAGAAGGAATTCCTGGAGGCTTATAAATATTCAGGATGGAAGTGTCACTAATCTTGATAGTGAACCATGCAATATTGCCGTCTGGTGAGGAAGCAACTTGGCACCACTCTGTGTCATGTGACAAAGGCTGCAAGGCCATAGGACTTGCTGAGGGTGAAGGCAGCATGACTAAAGCCTTGCATTTCAAGTCTGTCAGGGGATTCACAGTGTGCTTCCTGAAACAGAATGACAGCTGCATTGTGCTCAGCAGCAATCTGACTAATGACAGAGGCTTAACTGTGCTGCTTCCTTCAATGTTGTGTTGTAGGATGGTAGATGGAGATTCATTGTCTACTAGTGCTGTGGACCAAGAGGCTGTAACCATGCACCTTAAAAAGGGCACTAGGCTTGGTGGGGGAACACCGCTAGCAGTCCCACAAGCTACTTGGCTGATGGAATCCGAATATGGGGGCTGCAATGGAAGTGTGGCATTACCTTCCCTTGTTGACCTGTGAGGTCAGGCCAACTCTCAGGATCTTAATATTACACTGTTAGACAGGAGCGTGTGACACAATTGCACATATACACACACACACTACCAGCTCAGGCACATACACATCCAAACCAGCCTAGGCACATGCATACCTATCACCAATTCAACCACATACACTATACACCCCAAAAGTTAGACACAGATCACTAGCTCATATATCATGCACACAATGACATATATATATACACACACAGTCACCAGTTCACACACATACAACCTACCTACACACAGCTAAGTTCTTAACTTGGATGGTACAGTGTGTATGTGTGTGCTTGGGGTACCTGAGGGAAGGTTCAGGTGAGAGAAAGAGAGAGTTAAAGTGTAGAGAGTGAAAGTTGCCAGAACTGGGATTAGAACCAGTGGACTATAGAGAAACTGGCTGAAGAACTAAGGCTTGGGTTTACTTAAGGTTGGCTGGGGCTAGAAACTGAAGCAGACAGCTCAGATATTTTGGGGGGGCAGATAAGTGGTGGCAAGGAGGAGACAGCCAGGAAAGAAACTGAGGCAGAAACCTGGTTGCTCAGGGGAAAAGGAAAAGGCAGTGGGGATAAGACAGTGGCAAAGAAAGAGGGGGTTTGGAGGCAAAAAGGAGCTCAGGACAGGTGGCAGTGGGCCAGAAGCAGGAGAAATGAGACAGAAGTTAGAGGGGTGAGGAGCAGAGATTGGAGCAGGGCCAAACCATAGTAAAGCAAAACCCAACTTAGGGGTCCAAATAACAGTTTTATTA